ACAAATGTTTTGAGATAGCAAATATATAAACTAAAAATCCATATTGTAATCCAACTTTACCTTTCGTTTTCTCTGAGATTGCTACAGACACTTGAAGGGGCTTAATGTAGTCCTGTATTTAAAAAAAAAAAAAAAAATTTTTTTTACACAAACATATCTTTTCTATACTTTCAAAAACTTTCCTTACAAGAGCATATAAATGCTCTAATAGAATTTTTTACAAGATGAAGCAATTTACTGATTGTCACATGAAGAGACATGAAACATGGTGACCAAAGGATGAAACACAACAAGGCTAAATCCTACGTACCTCGGATACCTTTATAGAATTCAGACCCAATGGCAAATCTGAAGGCAGAGCCGCTATGCAGGATGCCTAAGGCAAATGAAGCAAAGCTTAATGTTTAAAGAATAACCATTCCAAGATGTCAAATTAATCCAGATTTTAGCATTTACAATTTTTTTTAAAATGGAACAAAATGGACTGATAAAAGACTGTATAGACTCAGAAATTACTGTAGTAATTTAAAGCAAACTCACATCATCATCATCTTCACAGTCAAAGTCTGGCTGGGAGAAAGGGGTTTTGATCGGACTTAATGCTGGGGAAGAGCTATCAGTTTGTGCTTCTGGGTTACTGACTGGTGTCGCTCCTTTACGCAACGGTGTATTTGCAGGCAACATTTTATCAAATACTTCTGGGCTTAAATCGTCTCCAAAAGTAACCCTCTTTCTCTTCAGTGGCTTTCCAGAGCTGTGCACATCTGTTTTGCCTATTGTTTTACTATTGCTGCTATCTGTAACAAAAGATTAAATACACAGAACTATACTGTGATTAATAGAAATATTCTACTTTAAAACTCCCTTACTTAGAAGTAGAGAATTCCTTATCAAGTCACCAGGATTTGTCGGAAACGATTTGGGAATTAAGGAAAAAGGAGGCATATCTGAGTTTCTTGTAAAACTAGAACTGAAGATGAATTCATAGTCAGAGGTGGAAGAGATCTCAAGAAGTCAGTGAGACCTCAACAGGTCATCCAACCCCTGGCCCAAAGCAGGATCAACCCCAAATAAATAGCTTTATGGTTTTTGATAGGAGGAAATCTAAAACCATTGACTAAAAGAAAAAGGAATCTCATAGTTACTTATCAGGCTCCCTCTGAAGATGCTACTTTATAGGCAAGATGGACTGTCAGATTCTGATGTCCAAATATTGTTTGAAAGTGTTAAATTATTGCTATGATGAACATGTTAGAACAATATCAAAAGTAGTTACCACCTTATATTACTATTGTAGCCTACATGCTAGCAGTGTTAGTTCAGTCTGGGAGGACAATTATCCATCCACCCACATCGCAATCAGCATATTTTAAATGGCTAAAGAGATTGAACTGCTACCTATCAAAAACAGTCATTCAGAAAAGTACTGAGATACATTGATCGGGTGATGTGGAGAACAGCTCATGTTTCTAAATTGTTGAATGTTTACGGAGGTGAATAGTCTAGCAATCTTGCATCTATATTGCCTTTCATCCACAGTGCTTTACCAACTAACGAATTATGGGAAGATTTTGGCCTTGGCTGAATATAATTCAGTTGTGCAAAGAGATAAATAGAGGCTGTGTTCTTGCTTTTCCATCTCCACATCTTAAGCACATATACAGTTCCATCTCCTGGCCTAATGTGTCATCCAAGACATTCAAGTCAACATACAAGGGGTGTAGTTTGCTTTTAATATGAGCCACTAGCAGATTATTACTGAAGCACGATGCAGGGAGGAAAGGAGTTTTGCCTATGAGACAATATTCCTTTCCTGCTGTACTCCTGAGATCTAGCCATCACATATTGATAGCCCAGTCACCAATGGGATAAAAATGGTCATTGCTTAAGAGCCTGCATTGATCATACACTGTAGTTTAAGACAAAGAAAACTCAAATTATATCTAAATTTACAGAATTAGTTTAAAGAGCTGGAATTCATAATGCAGTTGTAATTTAGCAAGGAAACAGGGACAATACCTGAACCCTTAAGAAAATAAATTGTGGAATGTTATAACTCCAAGTGGTCATAACTTCAGTTTTACACACGAAAATGGCACTTCCAGAACTTTAGCATTCCTGGAGTATTAAGTACTATGTCAGAGGGTAGAAAGTTTACTACTAAGCAAACCAAGTAATAATTCTTGTCCTTAAAAAGGTCTCCACTTTATGTACATGACGCTGTAAGGCCCTCTGAGATCTGCTATTTCAAAACAGTCATCATATAATCTTACCATTACCTATTTTTCACAAAAAACGTTTTAACTTTGAAAGTTTTTCTGTGCTATCCCAAGTGTATTGCCATATAGAAAACCTGCAGTTTTCTTGTATCTTATAGCTGAAAGACAAGTAGAGGTTGTACCTCTAGTTTGGAACCCTTGGGACCTGACCGGTACCAAACCAGAGAATTTGCTAGACCACAAGAGGTCAATATTGCTAGCATCGCTACCAAAACTTCCACTTCTTACTGGGCTCTTAGAAAACATTTAGGGGTAAATTAGAGCTAAGTAACAGCACAGGACAGAGTCAGGACTGGTGGCTGTAAAACTTTGTGTGACCATGGGAAACTTGGCCACATCCATGAAATCATGACAGACAAGAGTGCCAGACTAGAAAGGTTTAACCCGTAATAATGAATGGGCACATCATATTTGTACCTTTTGTACCTATTGCTATATAACTGCAAAAATTGCTGAAAACAAGAAGTTGGAGAAAGATATTGTCCTCTCTTTTCTCCCCTCAGACTGTTCATTTTGAGAATTCCATAGCACTCTGCATATACACAGTTTCATATTTTTCTTCTCCATTGTACTGCCTCATGTTTTGCAACAAAGTGACCAATAGCAGCATCAAATTCAACTCAACCGTGTCCCTTTTAATTAGAGGGAAATAAAGTTTATGCCAGTTTAGAAAGTATAAAAATTTCTGACCTGTTTGCTGATCTTCACAACTTCTTGAGAGGTTAGAGAATAGAAGAGGCTCATTTTCTTCTGCGCCAATAGTATTGTTTGTGTGTTCCTATTAAGATTAACAGTGTTACTCCTGTCTAATCAAAACTGTACTATAACAATTTAGGCATTACAAAATTTGCCTGTTCATTTTTAACCTAATGTTCATTTTTGAAAAAGGATAATAGAAGTTATTTCCTTAACAATCAGCATAAACGGAGCATTAGATTATCGTGTTTTTAGAGTGTGTACATGTATGTGTTTGAGTCCTCTTGAAAAACTTTCAAAATAATTAAGATAAATCTTTGACATGAAAGAAAAAAAAAAAAAGAGTGGTCACAGACATACCCCTTTCTATCCACAGCACTAACATAATTGCTTAACACAACTTCCAATGCATTTTTGTTATACTATTAGTCAAGAGATGTTTCTTGGAAAACTTGGTTCAATTTTAAAAAGTTACTGAGTAGTTAACACAGTAATGCTTCTTTAATATTTCAAACATATTTACAATGAGATCATTGCACCAACCTTCACAGTTTCCAACAGTAGTTTTACTGGTGTTTTCTTCAGAGCCGATCGAAGGCAGGAGCAGCCATCGAGGGATTGTTCACTGGATGGGAAGTTTCCTTTTTGCCTTGGTGTAATAGGAGGCATGGTTTCATCGAATATCTCCAAGCTCAGTTCTTCTGCAAAAGTAACTTTCTTTCGGCTTGATCGTGACTCACTATTACTTCCAACTTCTTCACTGATACACTCAGAACTCAAGTCTTCAAAATGAACAAGTATCAAGATTTAAGGGGCTCAGAAATAATTAAAAAATTCAACATTAGCAGCGTGCATGTGTTGCAACAACTTAGCATCAAAAGCTGCTTAAATATGTAAATTCCCCAGAAACTATGTTTGTGGTAGTGTGGCCTCCATTAGAGATGCACTGTGTAGGAGATACATTATCAGACATGGTAGTTTATTTCCCAAGTTTAAAATAGGGTTGCTATAGTACTGCATTTATTTCCCTATAAGGATTGTATCAGCATTTCTATTATCCTTCCCTATTTTCTGGATGTTTAACATGCAGCTACAGGAAGTGGTCAATGAAAGATTTTGCATACAAGTAGACGGGCATTAATCAAAAAGGTTCCTTAATTATAGTCTCACTTTCTTAGCAGCAGAAGAACCATTTACAAGATGAGATTGTCTCCTATTTTTGGATTATTTTCTTTTCTAACATCTTGATAATCTCCTATTACTCTTGTTGGGGGGAACAAAACCCCTATCTTTCTATTCAATTCTCATTTAAAAGTAGTATTTCCAAACATTGTAGCCTACAGCAAAAGGTCTGGGAACCCGATTTGAGGTTCTTCTGCAACTGCAATTAATTCTAGTTTTGCCAGCATACGTTTTGCCAGCATTGATAACAGCACAAAACTATTTTGACTCCTGTTGGATTTGGAACTTTTGATCAGAAAGAGAGCATTACTGCTGGTTTAATTATGTTTCCATTTCACAAGACATATTTAGTTTAAGACGTTAACAGAGTATTAACAAAAGTAGCGAAGAATTTTCTTACTGCACGGAGTCTTTGGGATGCCCGTTAGTGGAATAACCTCTAATGATAATCTTCCAGATTCATTAATATTTGGTGGTGAACAGGGAATTTCCTAGAAAAAAAGAATAGTTATTTTCACCAGAATTCTGATATGCAATGAAACATAGTAAAAAAGTTTTCAAAATAACCCCCCCCACCCTCCCCCCCAGGGCTTTTTATAAAGCAAAATCCTCAGAACAGCTTCATTACCTAAAGTTATTTGAAGTACGGATGTTAGCGTTTAACTGATTAAATGGTTTACCAATAAACATTAGCTTATTGGTTAACCTTACAAGTTAAGCTCCAGGTAGCCACCACAACATTTAACCATGTAACCAACTGAAATTCAATCAGTTACATGGTTAGTGGGTTTCTTTTAATGTTTATACCCCTAATTAGATGTGAACTGTAAAGATTTATCTTGCTTATGCTCACTGAAATGTTTCTATGTCTAAATAGTCTTTTTAAAGGAATGGTTTCAAATCTTGTTTTTCAAATCTGTCACATCAATTCTGATCTTTAAGGGAAGACAACGAGGAGTCAGACAAAAACTGGGGTTTCTCAGTGTTCCCTCTAAACTGCATGACAGCACAGCTTCACAGGTGATTAATCAGCCCCACCCAGTCAGTCAGCTCCATGCAGGGAACCCTGAGCCCCTGACTGGGCAGGGCTGATCAATCACCAGTGATGCTATGCTACCCTGCAGTTTAGAGGAAATACTGCTCTCAATCCTAAATTGAAGGGACAGGGTGCTGAATCTTTTACATGCGAAGTTTGTCGTCTGTTCTCCAAATGTTTCTAGTTAAACAGCAAATAAATCAAGAACCAAAAAAGTTTTAAAATTTTCTGACTACACATTCTCTTCCTCCACAAATGCTCAGTTCCAGACCTCAAATCACACATAAGGAAGGCAAGCAAGATTTGATATTTCCAATGTAAAAAAACCTAGCCAAAAACCACAAAAACAGCACACAAAATATGCCTTCCCCTCCCCCTATTCCAGGAATTTTAATACAAGTTTAAGGCCTATTTTTATATATGGAGAAAGCAGCAGATAATTTAGAAAGGTTTTACAGTTCACTTAGAAGGCAGTCAGACCAGGATCAAATAGGTACCTACAGACAGAATAGAAAGTTAAGAACTATTCAGCTACCACTGCAAGTTAATTATTGGCAAACTGCTACTGGTGCTTATGACTTTTCCCTTTTTCTTTAAGCATATAATGCATATTAAAAAGTCAAGTAATATTCCTTCTGTAGGAATACAGTTTCATTATCATATTACAAGTCTCTATGGAAATCATGCTTTGTGATGATCTCTTGATCATCGAAGTTAAGTGAGGCGTAAAGCAGGTGTATGTCCTGGGGAAGATCAAAGCAAAAGATGGATTTCTGATTGATGGTGAAGTTCTTCAGATGCTCCTTTTCACAGATGACATTGTCCTAATTGCGTTGAAACCCACAACATTCCAAACCGTCCTTAAATGATATCGGTAAGAATGCAAAAGAGATTGGCCTGACCATCCACACTGGAAAAACTAAGTGGATGAAAAACACATATTGCTCAGAACACATCATGCAGTTGGATGGACAGACTGTTGAGATAGTAGATCAATATGTATGTTGTGGAAAAGTTGCTATCTGCATCAGTGGCGAGACCATTCACATCGATAAACTCACGGACCTTCCAAATATTACTAGTCTCTATAGTTGGCATCATTGCCACAAAGTATCAGCAAAGCCAGCAACTTATCAAGATTCAAAAGAGGATTTGAAATTCATGCAAATGAGAGAAGTCAGAGAGATATAGCTTGCATGGTTCCCCAGATGCACTCACTTTGGGGCAGGTCTAAGTACATGCACATCACCATGTGACCCAGAAGACTGAGGCAAGTTCTGGCTGTGGTGACTGGAAAGCTGGCAAGCAACTACACCATCTGGGTCATCACTGAAGTGATGTTCGGAGAGGAAGGCCTGCGCCCTGGTAGCATCAAGCGCTGCATTGATATACATGATCCTTTGAGTAGGCAACAGAACTGATTTTAAGGGATTAAGCAACAGATCAAGATGATGTAGCGCATCTATGGTGAAGGCAATGATGTAGAGAAAGACTTGGATTCCCTGCCATCATAGGAAAGCCAGTACCACTGCCATGCACTTGGTAAACACTCTTGGTGCTGTCGAGAGTCCAAAGGGGAGGGTAGTAAATTGGAAATGGCAGTTGCCCCCCAGGAAATTGAGGTAGCAACTGTGCAAGGGCATGATGGCAATGTAGAAATATACATCCTTCAGATCAAGGGCGACATACCAATCTCCCAGATCCAGGGAAGGAATGATGGAGCTCAGAGACACCATCCAGAACATGTGGTTGATCACAAATTTGTTGAGCTCCCTTAGGTCTAGCATGGACTGAAGCCCCCCTTTCACCTTGGAGATTAGGAAGTAGTAAGAACAGAAACCTCTGAATTCCTGAGGAACCTCCTCCACCGCTGGCAGATTGAGAAGCGTGTGAACCTCCTGCATCAGAAGTTACTCATGAGAAGAGTCACTGATGACGAGAGAAGAGGAGGAGAGTGGAAGGAGAGGAAAAGGTATCAAATAGCACTGCTTCAAGTCACAGCCCAAGTCCCTGGAGAGACATGGGAGAAAAAGAAAGGCCCCTTTGCTCCTGCTACTAAAGACTTAACTGGCCAGCTATTTATTAACTATTATTTAAAAAAATGCACTAGCTAGCTAGGGATGAACGCAAATCAAGCCAACCAAAGTTCTAACAGTTGCCACTGAAGAAGGGACTGAGGAGTGGTCAGGTCAGCAGGGTCATATATAGGGGGTGGCACCGGCACCAATTCAAAGGGTTACACAGCCAACCTGAAGGGTAGTAGGTAGGGCAAAACTTTCTGAAAATCATGACTGCAGCATGTGCATGCCTTAATTGGAATATGTATGAGCAAGCACTTGAACTGAGGATGAATGGGGTGGGGCTACATTTCAATCTACAGTCAATGCACCAGCATGTCAAAAGATGCGGCTTCAACAGTTCTATTGCTCACAAAGAACTGCTAATGTCTATTGCTCACAAAGGATCTGCTGAAATCTGCAATTTCACATGTTTCCCTCAACCCCAGACAGATATGCATACATTCTTCAAGTAAGCCTACCTTTGAAATAGCAGTAGTAGTTTCAGTGATGGGCACCTCCTTTGGTGGAGAGACAATCTTGCATATGTGGATACTGGCTACAGTTTTATCACCATTAGTTAATTTTTCTTTCAAGTTTTCCCTATAAGCAATCCTCTTGCATTCAGATATTAATTCTTCGCTCAACTGAGACTGTTCGTGATGTTTTGTAAAAGGTGGTTTGTTCGGAGCTGCATTTGTAAATTAGAAAAATAAGCGAATCTTAGATTTTCCACATAGATCATTTACATCCCTTCACTGCATAGATAAATAAGCCAGACCTCTCTCTATTAGAAGAAAATTAAAAGTATCTTTGAATTCTTACAAGTAGCACTGTATTACTTACCGTATATTCCGGCGTACAAGACGACCTCTGATGTTAAAAAACATCCCCCAAAAATCGGGGGTCGTCTTGTACGCCGGGTATACATCCCAGGCGCGCCTGGGATGCCCCGCCGCCGGAGCCCCTCCGCGGCTTTGAAAGCTGCTGCGGCTTTGCTCCCGGTGCCTCTGGTCTGCTGGGGACCATCTCTAGCAGACCAGGGACACCGGGAGCAAAGGAGGCAGAGGGGCGCTGGGGTATAAGATGAAACCCTATCTTTTAATTAAAAAGATAGGGGGTCGTCTTATACGCCCAGTCGCCCTATACGCCGGAAAATACGGTATTTTAATTTTCTTGGGGTTTTTAAAATAAAGCAACCACCAATAATAAATAGTTAATTCTGTGGATGGTATGGAAAGCAGTAGTAGAAAGAGCAGCTGAGAAAAGTAACGAAATATAGCAATGTATTTTAATACATTTAAATACATTTAAATAGGTTTAATAAAGAGAAATGCAAAGTGCTCCACTTAGGAAGGAACAATCAGATCCATACATACAAGATGGGAAGCGACTGTCTAGGAAGGAGCATGGCAGAAAGGGACCTAGGGGTCATAGTGGACCACAAGTTGAATATGAGTCAACAGTGTGACGCTGTTGCAAAAAAAGCAAATATGATTCTAGGTTGTATCAACAGGTGTGTTGTAAGCAAAACTCGTGAAGTCATTCTGCCGCTCTATTCTGCACTAGTTAGGCCTCAGCTGGAGTACTGTGTCCAGTTCTGGGCGCCACATTTCAAGAAAGATGTGGAGAAATTGGAAAGGGTACAGAGAAGAGTGACAAGAATGATTAAAGGTCTAGAGAGCATGACCTATGAAGCCAGGCTTCATGAACTGGGCTTGTTTAGTTTGGAAAAAAGAAGATTAAGGGGGGACATGATAGTGGTTTTCAAATATCTAAAAGGGTGTCACAAGGAGGAAGGTGAAAATTTGTTCCTCTTGGTTTCTGAGGACAGGACATGGAGTAATGGGCTTAAAGTGCAGCAGGGGAGGTTTAGATTGGACATTAGGAAAAAATTCCTAACTGTCAGGGTGGTCAAATATTGGAATAAATTGCCAAGGGAGGTGGTGGAATCTCCCTCTCTGGAGATATTTAAGAACAGGTTAGATAGACATCTGTCAGGGATGGTGTAGACGGAGTTTAGTCCTGCCTTGAGGGCCGGGGGCTGGACTCGATGACCTCTTGAGGTCCCTTCCAGTCCTATTATTCTATGATTCTATGATTTTCTGGAAACTTTCCTCTACTTATTGAGCCATATTGACTTTTCATGTGCAACACTTAATTTCATTTTCCCTACTGGATAGTTTACAGGCCTTAGAGAATATGGCAACTTATCAATAATTTGGTGTTCTCTCAGCATTGCTTAAGTTAATTATACATTTCACTTCTATGATAAAATTTCCAAATTCAGGTTGAAACTCTCTTAACCAGGATTCTCTGGTCTGGCAACATCTATGATCCGGCACGGATGTTACGTGATTAGAGAGGCCTGGTGCAGGGCCAATGGCAAGGACCCCTGTGGGGCCGACAGGCCAGCGGGCTTGCCTGCAGCAGTGGGGCTGCCTAGCAGGGTTGACAGGGCAGTCGGGCCAGCAGGGGGTGGGAAGCCAGCTGGGAGGCCAGCAGAGCTGGTGGCAGGGATCCAGAAATGACCTTCCCTAGTCTGCCAAAATCCTTCATCTGTGACTGGTCACGTCCAGAGGGTGCCAGACCAGGGAGGTCCTACTGCATTTTTAAAGGTGGTATTGGACACCAATCTTCACACAATGGAATTATAAAGGTAAGGACCAATCCAAAATTTGTAAATGGTAACTTATGATTTCAATCTCTACCATTTAGATCCATGAATTCATTCTGGAAGATGGGCAATAAAAAGTGAATCAAAACACATTCAATGACAAGTAAAAGATAAGAAGCCTAAAGAAGCCTTCTTGTCCAAAATGTATACTAATCAGTTATAGTCAGAATAGTACTACCTAAAATTTTAGAAAGTAAAAACTATCAAAGAAGTTACTAAGGAAATAGACAAATACAACACTGGGGCTTTTGGTTAGTTTACTTTTTTATTCTCTGAAACCATGACTCAAGATTCACCCAGAAAAACTACGCGTGACAAAAATACTATTTATGCTTGTTATGAATAAACACCTTAAACAAAGTTATTATACTAAAATCATATCGTTTCTAGTCACAAAAATTAAAGTTACCATCAACATTATTGATAATTTTTTATTAGATAGAATTTACTTACAATAGCCCGCTGCCTGGGACTCTCTCACTTCTTGTGAGAGTCCAGGAAGACAAGCCCTCCCCTCGTCCTCTTGCACTGATTGAAAAGATGATTGGAAGGCAGAAATCTTATCCTTTAACGAGCCAACATTTTGATGTTTAAAAGGGCTGGCCTGCTAGGACATGACAAAATAATTATTTTAAATAAGTCGAAACTTAGCATATTTCTCTTTGATATTTGTAACAGAGCAGCAAATAAGTGTATCTTAAAATGGCATTGTTTCACTTGGTTACTGCCCCTAAGAATATTTTAAAAAGGGATTAATCTCAAATACTCACACAACAATGCAATTTGACTGCTTTTTTTATACTTAGTCCCTCCAAAGCCATTTGCCTCTGCCAGTCCCATGCATGTAAACTAAACTGTATGAGTAACATTGTTCTATATTTTAGACATAACTACACACAACACTGAATAGTAATAGAGAGGTAGCTGTGTTAGTTTATTCTTTTGTTTTAGCAAGATCAGACTATGTAGCACTTTAACAAGATGGTTTAATAGGTGATGAGCTTTCGTGAGCCAGACCCACTTCCTCAGACCATATTCTGGAAGAGAATTGGCATGACTATATATACACACCAAAGGAATACAATGAAAAAAGTGAACACATTATAAAACTGACAAATCAGAAATAGTACAGAAGGTGGGGTGAGGGAGACAACAGACATCTTCACAATGAAAAACCAGTTGCTTTTCATTTCAACCTACAAGGACATAGTCTTAACTTTATTCCATGCATTTTACTTCAAAGAAACGTTAGCACCAGATTAGAGGGAAACTTCAGAATTTTCTCTCATTCTTAAATTTGACACTTTACAAATGGGCCTTAAAGATGCTAATTATCTTAACCATTACAAAGACAGCTTCTGCACTTATTACCCCTGATTAGAACATAACATAAGAACGGCCATACTGGGTCAGACCAAAGGTCCATCTAGCCCAGTAGCCTGTCTGCCAAGAGTGGCCAGCACCAGATGTCCCAGAGGGGGTGGACCGAAGACAATGATCAAGCAATTTGTCTCCTGCCACCCTTCTCCAGCCTCTGACAAACAGAGGCCAGAGACACCATTTCTATCCCCAGCTAATCGCCTTTTATGGACCACCATGAATTTATCTAGCTCCTCTTTAAACTCTGTTATAGTCCTAGCCTTCACAGCCTCCTCTGGCAAGGAGTTCCACAGGTTGACTACACGCTGTGTGAAGAGGAACTTTCTTTTATTAGTTTTAAACCTGCTACCCATTAACTTCATTTGGTGTCTTCTAGTTCTTCTGTTATGGGAACTAATAAATAACTGTCCTTTATTCACCCTCTCCACACTACTCATGATTTTATAGACCTCTATCATATCCCCCTCGGTCTCCTCTTTTCTAAACTGAAAAGTCCCAGTCGCTTTAATCTCTCCTCATATGGGACCCGTTCCAAACCGCTAATCATTTTAGTTGCCCTTTTCTGAACCCTTTCTAAGGCCAAAATATCTTTTTTTGAGGTGAGGAGACCACATCTGTACACAGTATTCAAGATGTGGGCGTACCATGGTTTTATACAGGGGCAGTAAGTTATTCTGTGTCTTATTTTCTATCCCTTTCTTAATAATTCCTTTCTATTTATCTCACTAGGATTGGACTTCCACTTCTTAAAAGATGCCTTTTGTCCCTCACGGCTTCTTTTATATGGGGGTTAAGCCAGGGTGACTTTGTTTTAGGTCTCTTACTATGTTTTTAAATTTGGGGCATACATTTACGTTGGGCCTCTATCATGGTGTCTTTAAAAAATTTCCATGCAGCTTGCAGAGATTTGGCCTGTGCCTTTTAATTTCTGTTTAACTAACCTCCTCATTTTTGTGTATTTCCCCTTTTTGAAATTAAATGCCAGAGTGCTGGACTGCTGAGGTCCATTCATCGACTCAAATAGCTATTCTCGCCCTTCCTCTCCCTCACCCCACCTTCTGTACTAAATCTGATGTGTCAGTTTAATAATGTGTTCACTTTTTTCACTCTATTCCTTTGGTATATATCAGGGGTTCCCAAACTTTTTGATACAGGGACCAGTAAATCCATTCACGAACTTGGGACCGTGCATGTTCATTTGCATATTCATTAATCAAATTATGAATATTCAAACAAGTTGTTTCTGGTCCTCCCAAAACTCCCAGTGCCAGCTTTATGGTCACCCACAATATTCTTGCCAGCAAGTTAAGGAATATGGATTGGATAAATGGACTGTAAGACAGAAAGCTGGTTAGACCAGGATTTCCCAAACTTTTTACTTTAGTTGGAACCCTCCCCCCCTCCCAATACTGCTTTTTGCAGCCCAAAAATGTAAACGCATAAAAAACAAACTGAGAAAATACCAGATATATAACATGTCTGGTATTTTCTCATTAGGTACCGTATTTTCCGGCGTATAGGGCGACTGGGTGTATAAGACGACCCCCTATCTTTTTAATTAAAAGATAGGGTTTCATCTTATACCCCAGCGCCCCTCCGCCTCCTTTGCTCCCGGTGTCCCTGGTCTGCTGGAGATGGTCCCCAGCAGACCAGAGGCACCGGGAGCAAAGCC